GGAGAATTTTTAAAGTTTGTTTTAATGCTTGGGTCATTGTCCTATTGTTGCGGTGTTTTCGATTACAGTGAGTTACTGTGTTCTTACTTGGATGGTAATTAGGTTCACTTTACTTGAAGTTCAAGCAGGTTCACTTAACAGACAAACCGATAACTTGCTGTTAAGAGTAACTGCTGGTGCTGGCTGGTAGAATTTTTGGAGTTTACAGTTACTTTGTTCCTTCTTTAGTATTGCAGGAAGAGTTATGGAAACCCATGGCAGGGGGGGAACTGGTCTCCCAGGGTTGCTGTCGCTATTCCATTGAAGATAAGTTAGAAGATTGACCCCACCCAATTTTAATTCCCTTAGTGCAGAATTATTTTTCCAACCACTTCAAAATAGGGATTAACCTGCTTGTTAAACTATCTAGGTCCAAAACTCTGGACTTTAAATGTTTAGAACTCTGGAGGCTATGCTCCGGTTGTATGGGGCATTGGTGAGACCACACCTAGAATAACGTGTGCTGTTTTGGTCTGTATGTTTACGAATGGATATAAATGCGTTGGAAGCAGTTCCGAGAAGATTTACTCGATGAGTACCTGGAATGAATGAGTTGCCTTTTGAGGAAAGGTTGTTTAAGTGTTAAACTTTCATTTGCTGAAGTTCAGGAGAGGTGACTTGGTTGAAAAATGTCAAGGTTTCTTAGGATCTTACAATGTGAATGTGGATAGGATGGTATTTCTTCTGGGAGAATCTAGAACTAGGGCTTTCCCTTTTTAAAATAAGGGGTTGCCCATTTAAGTCAGATGAGGAAAAATATTTTGTTGTGATACTTTTTGGAATTTTCTTCCTCAAAAGTAAAATCTTGAATCCACTATCTCAAATATTCTTGATGAGCAGGGGGTGAAACGTTATCTGGAGTAGGTAGGATTATGGAATAAACAGATCAACTATGATCTTATTGAATTGTGGAGCAGGGGTGAGTGGCCTACTTCTTTGTATATCTCTTTTCTCTTACATTCCCACTCTCTAGTTAAGGCCCAAACTTACCTCTTTGACCTCCTTTTAAATTTTGAAATTTTCTTTGCTCCTGCAAAGAACTTCAGTTCCATTTAGGTTAAATACACACAATGCAAGTGCGAGTTGTTATTTAACAGGATTTCACTTGAGAGATATTGAGGATTCAGCTGCTAACATGACACTACTTGTTTTCTAGTTTTAGTATTACATGTTGCAGCTTGGATCCTGTACCTGACAACTGTTTCTCTTGATTTTTTTTTTTTAGGGTGCCACTTGAAAACAGCAGTGATTCAGATTGGCTCTCTTGGCCCCATTTAATACTTCTAGAGGGATGTCACTGTCTGTTATGAAAAGCTTTCAAACAGGAAACTGCTAAAACAGTCTGCATTGAAAACTGAACCCTCCTCTCCAGTGAGTCTCCTGGGAAACAATCACATTGCAACAGATTCCATCTTAAAATAATAGTATGAACCTTGGCTAATAAAGTTTTTGGTAATGTTTTCCCCATGTAAGTTTGCCTTTTATAACTTAGGGAGAGACTTTAACTTTGAGCAGTAACTTGCTTGAGATATACTCTAACTGTAAAACTCTTTTAGTCAGTGCCCAACATGAGCTGATGAACACCCAAAGTCTAATTGAAAACTGAGCAGATGAATGCTCTTTGCAATTTTAAAATAAAAATGTGTTTAGAAATGACTGACTTTCTTTATATTCTTCATGGAGGTATGCTTTGCACATTACTTTTTTGAAAACACCATCATACCATTGTCTAGTTGGACCATGCTTAGTTTCTTGCTATTATTTCAAAATTCTTCAGAAACTGGAACTCTTGAAATAAAACCAGAAGTGGCTGAAAATGATTCTGTCCCAATTTTAACTCTGAGTAAACACAATTTAAAAAGCACTGGAAGAGGTAGTTACAAAGAGTCAGACTTGACTGACATCTCACAGTTACTTCTAGGGCAGACTGTTACAATCAAAGGCATTATTCTAAGTGGACTGTTTTTATATAGCCAGCAGCATCATACTGAATAGAAGGTCAACTGCTGTCATTCAAGTAAAACTGGAGAAAAATGTGCTGAAAATGAGAGTCCCCAAAAAAAGTCATTAGACAAAGTCAACAGCCAAACCAGAGTTAGAACACATTTGTATACAGCATCGACATCTCGTGTCAACCATCTGTTGTCCTTTAGAGACCTCCGGCATGACACTCTACTCGAGCATCATTGCTATCATCCCAATAAGTTGGATGTCATATCTTGCTCTATTGAATAAAAGAAATCTGAAACTTTTTCAGTAATTTTAGCCAACTAATTATTCTATAGGACTTGTATGTGTTTGATCATCATTGTATTAACTCAGGGGAAATGTACGAATGAAAGGGTGAGCAGCATTCATTTGAAATGACTAATATAAAGAGGCACGTTCTGATGTTAGCGGGTTGTAGACTTGGAAGCCAACTGAGTTGCTAAACACAATTCCCAAGGGAAAATTATGCTTAATGGATCAGGAGGATTTAAACTACAGTCTGTTAAATCAGCTGGACTAGGTTGCTGATCAATAAGCGATGAGTCCTATTGGAATATGTGTGTTAAGGGCAGAATTTGAGCGTGTTAAGGCTGCACGGTTAACCTCTGGCACTTGCACATTGTGAACCACAACTTGGGAAAGGTACATGGCCCCTTAAAAATCATCAGGAGAGAGACAAAAATCAAATAGAAGAAAGACTGATAGATTGGGATGTGGCCAACAAAAATTGTATTTATGATCCCCAAATGCATCTGACAGATCTTTCCTTTCAGATCCCCATGATTATTTTCAGAATGTTGTTGAAGTGGTGGCCAATGCTCCCTGACCTGAGGGATCTTTACAGCCACCAGCATAGAATTGCTTTTTGTTTTAAAAAGCCTCTAGGTACTCCTAAGTTTCGCTGTACACTGAAGTTTGTGAATACTAAGCTTCCCATGAAGAAGTGTCCAGAAAACCTTGTTGTGGGGTGTGATAAATTGAAGAAAACTGAAGAGCTGGCTGGTCAGTACTTCAGTGATGGATGCTCCATCAGCATCTGGTGTTGTGACAGAAGGTCACCATTCAAAAACATTTAAGCTTTTTAACCTCCCCATGACTGACACCGTCTCAGTTGTAGATGGATTTAGAAATAAAATTCCCTTCACACTCCAAAGGCAACACAGGAAGTGCTGGAAGTGCAGAACAAGTTCATACAGACAAAGAGATGCTGGTTAACCGTATCAGGACAGAAAAAGAGTCATTTGTCAGTTTTTATTTTTCAGATGGTGCACATTTTTGGTTCTCCAGGTTGTCTTTGTCTTTGTTTGAAGCATTTATTTTTATCTGTAAATTTAAAAGCTACCAGGACAATCCCAACTGCAACAGTTTGGACCCCAAAGAAATGTCGGAGCTTGAACTTTGAGAAAAACAATTCCTCCCCATCCCAGCACAATGGCAGTGGGATCTTGTGCAATTTGCTTGTCTAGAGAAATGGCATGCATTCTGCATAAGACTCCGTCAATAGTGCACTGTTCTTGCATATGCCTGCAGGCCCACAAATGCAGTCCTCCTGGATTTTTAATCATATATGTGAAACTGGTTGATTTCTTCATTTAAAAATTGGAAGAGATTGTCTAAGTGTGATGGATTAGGAAGTCAAGTGTCCTTTAGTTCTGAACATCTTACATTCGAAACAGCACTAACTTTGAACTGTTTGCAGGCCTACTCTTACGGAACAGTATCTTTTTTTTCAAAGGCACATACATGCACATATATATGGCTGGGCTATCTTTGAAGCTGATTTTCTGCACTTCCAGTAGAGTGATATTAGCAGAGATTCAGCCTGACTGAGGAAATTTCTGAGTACTATTCTTTTGTTTCCCCGTACAATTATTCATCAAGTCAGTATTGCAAGCTGCGATTCTGCTTAGGCTACTGAATTCAGCATCGCACATTTGAGTAGTATGAGGAAAGTGCTTCCACATGGCTTTGAATCTAGTCACTGTTGTAATGTAGGAACCATGGTAGCTAATTTCCACACAAGCTCTCACAAACAACAGTATTTGTGTTCAGATAATTTAGTTTTATTGATGTTAGTAGAGACTTAAGTCTTTGTCTTTACACTAGGGATAATCTTCCTTTGAAATAGTGCCATGGGATACTTTACATCCATCTGAAAGAGCAGGCTTCTTGGTTTAATATTTCATCTGAAAGCTGGAATCGTTGGTAGAGTAACACTCCTTCAACATTGCACTAGAATGTCCACCTAGATTTTGTGCTCAAGTCTCTAGAATGGAAGTTGAAGTCATAAACTTTTGACTCGGAAGCAGCGTATTGCTAACTTGGTCACACTTGTTTGATTTTCCAAAACAATGTGCCTCAACCAAACCTCCAAAGAGCTCTTATTTCCTGAATCAATGATGTTTCCATTGCTATGGGCGCGTACACTAGTCATTGGTTTCCTTCTTTTTGCCACGGATGCATACCTGCAACCAACAGGTTAATCTCATCCCACCCCACCCAGATCCCGTTCAAAAGACAGCAAAGCGAATCTCCTACTGATTTGTACCTACCGTCACATATGACAGTGGATTGTCAACACATTGCATGAATTATTCCTAGTACCAGAAGCCCAGGTGTTCTGTCTTTCTTACACTTGCCCAACAAGTTCAGGGTCCAGAAACATCCCAGGGATGAGAAGAACCTGGACCAATAAATGCAACAGCAGTTCTGGTGAAGTCAACAATACAGCAGCATTTGGCATCCCAGGTGACCCCCGAGTTATTATAATAAGTAGCAATGCTTAAAAATCACTGCATTGTACATTTTCGAGAGAGAGAGGCAGTACCATTATGATCATGCTGAATAGTGGAGCAAGCTCATTAAATCAAATGGCGTATTTCTGCTCTTTCTTGTTATGTTTTTATTTATAACTCTCACTGCGATATAAAAATATACAGTATCATTCTTGGTGAGAATCACATATATGGACGGCTGTGCAAAGCACTGTTCACAATGCAGTAGCTTTATTAGATATTTTCAGTCTTCACTGTATTAGATAAAATACATAACTAGTTCACCAACAAGTTTTATGGATGGATCAAACTCCTATGCAGATAAACATATCTAAACACTTCATATAAAAATGACTAATATTCAATTCTTAAATGTACTTCTTTTAAGTTACAGCTAGGTCAATATTAAAATAAAACACAATTCACTATTGTGCACAAATTATCCAGGAGAAAAGGGTAATCAGCATATCTTATGTTACGGTCTTCAATGAAATTATTCACAATATTCATGAATGATCAATGATTTAACAAATACCTCTTTCTCCTTAGTGTTCAAATCAAGACTCAATACACGGACACATACTGTAATCTGTTGTTTTCTGGAAATACGACACTGTCAACTCTTTATGACTCCACAGAGTATCCTTCTCCGATCTTCAGGTTTATAAACTCAAGTTTGGCATCGTGTAATCACCACTTCTTAGTTTCCCTACACATCTCTTTCCAGACTTGACAGCTCTCAGTGCCATGTTTTTCAGCCCTGTGCCCAGATTTTCATGGTAAAGGAAGATTGATCTGTAACACCAGGAATGAATGGGAAATTCTGGTTAAATCCCAAAAGTACTGAGTCTCTTTGTTTTTGTCCAGAGTTATCTTGTTTCTCAGCATAAAACTTATGCAGAGAAACAAGACCGTTTCAAACCACAAGAAGTCTGAAAAACAGCCAGCCTGATGTATTGATAGCTTTCCTTTTGAACTCCAATATGAAAAATACCCTTTTATTGCAATCAATAAGAACGCTTAGTGGTGATGTGGTGTGTACATATCTGGCTTGATATTACATTAATGCCTTCAAAAGTATAGACATCTCAAACATACCCTGTAATAGCATACTTATAAATTATCTATATTAATCCTTCCTAAAAATATCTGTAATGTTGGAAATTCAGAATTGATGGACCGGCATCCTTCATCTTTAAGTTGTGAATTTTCCATTGTGAATTAGCTATCTCATCATGTTACTGAAGTGAAAATGGATCTGAACTGTTGGACTGAATAACATGATGAAATAGACGAGTAACATGTGCAACACAGTCAACAATCAACCTGTGACACCATCAAATTCAAGGAGAATTGGTTGAGTTCAGTAAATCCTGGTCTATAGTAAAGACTCCACTATTAGCCAGAATTTAAAAGTTTACTATTAGTAATCTAGGTGCTTTGGGTATTCTTTCTTGCAGTAAGGAAACATTTATACTGTTTATCCTTCATTATATGTGGTTCTTGTTACCATACAATCTGCATAGATTGTGGGCTGTGTGGGTTTTTACAGCATGCATGTCTGGTAGTGACTTACACCACTTCTACCAGCAGGGTAAATGTTGCTAGTACTTTTATGCTGGTATGTCCAATATACTGGATTTTACAGTAATTATAGCCCTGAGATCTCATAATCCAGTTAAATAATGAAGGCTTCCTGAGTATAACTGTACATTTCTCACCTATTAATCTTTTACTAAATACTGGAAATCTCCACCTCTTGTGTTCGGTCATATGGCTAAGTACTTAAAATTTTATTGTAAAGTTCCTATACCAGGCAACTTTAAGCTTTGTGTCATCAGGCAGGGAGTCAAATTGACAATAAATATAGGTCTCAGGCATTGAATCATTGTGGTTTAACACTGGCAATTACACAATAACCTATAATGGTCTTGCTTTGGGAACCTCTTCAATAGTATCTGAAACATAACCAATTCATAATGAAGACTCCCTTTAAGAATGTGTTCACAATTCACTACGTGGTGGATCAATGAAAAGGAATTGTGTGGTTAACTTTGTAAGGGCTGTGCTTAAGCCATTGTTCATCAAGAACAGGAGTAACAATCTCAATTTAATAGCAAAATTGAATATAATTGCTTGTATATAAATATCTGTAAAATTTACACTTAATTGACTCTTATGCTACAATTGGAAATGTAGTTGTGTCAGCTAATTGTGCAAAATGGAAGAAAACATATAACAGATAATTATGGCTAGATGACATTAAACAAGGGCAGTGGGACGGAGAACAATATCATAGTTTCAATAATTTCATAGTTAGACTCGAAACTCCAGAAGAATTGAATTCTTGTTAAAACAGTCACAAGATTGCAATCTGTCTGATACTTGAAGTTTTTAAACTGCAATAAGCCACACTAGCAGTGTGGTCCTTGCCAGTGTTCTCCTTGCATTCATTCACATAGTACACTAATCTAATCTTCCACGATGCAGTGTGAATTTTATTTTTTTGCAAGGATACTATTCAACCTGCCAGACCCCACCATCTCAGTCTTGGTGCAGGAGCTCGTGTGGGCCCTCCATTCTCAGCAGGGATAAAGTAATGATCGAGTCCCAGTTCATACATGCAGTATAAATTGTAGGCTACCATCGCCAAGGTCGGGAAAAACGTCAGCCCAAATCCAAATCCGCGATAGGCACTGCTTAATCCAGCTGTAATCCAATATATCAGTCTGTAAGAAATGCACAGTAAACTTTGTATCAGTGAGGTTCTTGTCACAGTTATGTCATAAACCTCTTTCGACTGGTGTGTAAATACAAAGTGTCTATCTGGGTCTGTGGTTCTGTTGAAAGGTTAGTGACCTAAAATGTTCACTCTCTCTGTGAATGTTCCCAGACCTGATGAATGTTGTGTGTTTTTACTTCAAATTTCAAGCAGATTTATGTTGTATTTTCTGTGTATGCACATATCTGGTCCATATAAATCGACATGCATTGTGTTTAATAGAGAGCATTAAAGAAAATGATGGAATCTATTACTCTCTCTAACAATTCTCAAGCTTTGAATAAGACTATAAACAAGTTTCACTGAAAGAAACAGAAAAGAGCCAACAGAAGTGTTCAAAATCTACATGAAAATTTAATAGTAAATTATTTCCACTGCTGGGTTAAACGGGAATAATGAGATATAAAATTGGGAATAGATTACTAATGCAAATGGGTGCACTGAAAGATTATTGCGTACAAGTGATGATTAGAATATGGAACACATTAACTCGTGCTAATTCAATCACAATTATCTGGCAACACTTAACAGGCAATCAGACAAACACTTGAGGAAAAATATTAAAAGCTACTGGGCAAGATGAGATTGCAGCAGATATTTCCAATGTGGCCAACTAGCTCCAATAACCTTGCATGTTGGGCTTTCTGTGATTATTTGAGTGAGAATTAGCTGCAGTTAATAATTTCTTCATGTTTTCACGTTTGTTTGTTTGTGTGTTTAAATAGCTTCGTAATAAGTTGTATACTTGTCCTTGTGTATTTCAGGATCTCATTAACTGGGTAAATGTGTGCTGTTTTGTCCCTAGGACTCTAATAAAAACACGTATGTGTATCCTGATAGGCTGTAAAGTTCCTATTAGCAGCAAACACATACTTTACTGGTGCATTCCAGTTTTCTATTAACAGTAGAAAGTGTACAGCTTGGCTTTACACTTTGCATAACTAGTCAGGGTGGCCAGTCGTAAAACATTCCTAAAGTCCTGATATAGTTCCAACTCTTAATTCAGTAAAACTGTCCTTACAATATACTATTTTGAAAGGCAGGAGCAATTTAAAAAGAGGACCTACCACATTGGAACAGGAGGAGACCATTCTGTCCCTTGAACCTGTTCCACCATTCAATTAAATTCATGGCTGATCTGTGACCTAACTCTATGTACCCATTTTAGTCCATAGCTGTTGGATAACAGAAAGTTATCAATCTCAGATTTATAGTTAACAATTGATCTGTCATCAGTTACTCCTAGCAGAGAAGAATTCCAAAATTCTACCAGCCTTTCTGAATAAAAGCATTTCTTAGTTTCATTTTTGAAAAGTCTGTCTCTAACTTTTAAACAATTCCCTAAGTCCAAGATTCGACAACCAGTGAAAATAATTCTGTCAATCAATACTGTTCCCTTTCAGACCTTGAAAGCTTCAATCAAATTACCCTGTAGCCCTCTAAATTACAAAGAATGCAAACCTTGTTTGTGCAATCTATTCATTTAATTTATAATTTGGAGTCTAATAAATCCACGCTGTACTCCTTCTAACAGCAGATTATCAGGCACCTTAAGTTAGATATGGAACACAAAATTTTAGATGGGATATATGACTTGCGTTCTGGCTGTCTGTGTAATGAGCGACATTCTGTTGCCTTCTCTAATAATTTTCTGTACTTCTTTTGTTTTTATTCTTTCATGGGATGACGGTGTTACTGGCAAGGCATTTGTTGCCCATCTCTAATTGACCTTGCGCTGAGTTGCATCCATGGATGTTTCAGAGGCAGTTAAGAGTCAATGACTTTGCTGTAAATCAGGAGTCACCGGTAAACCAGATCAGATAAGGGTGGCAGATTTGCTTCTCTAAGGGACAATTTTGATGGATTTTTTTTAATGACAATTAAAAATAGTCTTGTAGTCACGATCACTGAAACTAGCTTTATGTTCCAAAAACGTTTATTGATTCAATGACATTTTCATGTCAATATATGTCGATCTCTGCTATTTGGAATGTTTTCAACCCCAAACTGACCAATGAGTTTAGCGTAAGAGTGTATCCACCATGACAATTCATTTGGAAGCGGACATTTTTCTTGTGTTGAGCAATGATGTGAGGTTGCTATTTTATTTGACTGTGGAAGGTATCATCATCTAGGCACTTTCCATATGATAGTGACTAGGGGTGGATTAGCAGTAGATTTTATTCCCGAGGTTACTGGATCCCAATTATAAGGTCCTATTCCTCCCCCACCTACAATGAACAAACACATCACAAAACAAAGATGGAGTTTGGACATTCTGATCCATGTACTCAGAACCACGTTGAGCAGTACGTTTGGAGAACTCTGTATCCTTTAGCTCTAAAGAAATAATATTAAAACCAACAGTGTCTATTTAATATTGTTTTTCACCTTGCCACTGCAAAGAGTCCTGCTAATATGGGAATGATCTTCAGGTGCTCCTGGTGAAGATAAGTTGCCATTACAGCCATGTTGATAAAGTAGAGTGTAAACTGTTCAATGGAGTTGCCAACATATCTCTGATGGATAAGAACAGCGCGAACATTGGTGTCTAAGGGATCAATTGCCGTAGAACAAAGCCGGGACAGGGACCCTATTACAACACCTGGAAAAGATTAAGACATGTTAAGTTTCTTAAGTGTGGATCAAATAGGAGTAGTAGAATATGCTTGAGAAGAAGTCTGCAAAGATTTCTGACAAGTGATATAATAAGTTAGAAAATTGTATAACAAATGATTGAATTGCTTTTCTGATTGTGTTTTCTGCTTGAAGATTAGAGTTCTTCAGACACTGATTCTTCCACAGGATGTGCCAATGTGATAACATATAGTCCAAACACGAACCTTAATCGGGGCCATACCTTTCACAAGGACAGAGCAGGAGGTCTGGGACATCTGAAAAATGAATTATTGGGTCAAGGCAAAATACTGCAGATGCTGGGAATCTGAAACAAATGCAGAGACTGCCCCTTTTCCCAGTCTGCCTCACTGCTATGTTGACTGCAGGCTACTCTTCTCAGTCTGCCTCTCTGTGATGTTGAATACAGGCCACTCTTCCCAATCTGCCTCACTGCAATGCTGACTGTAATCATTATAAAGTTAAGTATGACACCAAGTCATATAAGGAGACACTTGGCCAAAGAAGTAATTTCCAAGGAATATCTTAAAGGAGAAGTTATATAATATGAGTTATATGTCTGCCTTCTGATGTTTTTACAGTTACCAACTTTAATTTCTAAGCAAAAATCAAATTGTTCTTCAGACAGAGAGTGGTGACAAAGTGATACTTGCTGCCAGAGGGAGTGGTCACATTGAATTGTATGGATGTGTTCAACAGGAGGCTAGAAATGAACATGACGGAGACAATAGTATCGTTATTCTGACAGAGTTAGATAAGAAAAGATCAGATAAGGTTTATGCAAACTTAGCATGGAGTGGTTGCCCCAAATAACCGTTGTTCAAATTTTCTTCCTCCCTGTAATTCCATGTAATATTGTTAAATATGAAATTCTTTGTGGGAAGAGTGCATTTGGAGGTTGAACACCTAAAAATGTAAACATTAACTTGATAATGGAAAGGAAAGGAAATGAATGTAGTTTTAAGAAGTTGCATTTTTTATGTTCCAGGAATGAATTCCTGCATCAAACCAATGGGATCAGCCCTTACTTCTCTAGCTGTTCCTCAGATATCAAGAATGACAAAACTGTTACACTTGCTGCACCACATGCATTGGCTGCCATTTGAATGCAAACTTCATGAATATCTATCAGGAACATAGCCTTTTCATACAGTTAAACTGTAAAAAATGGCCATGGCTAAGGAAGTAAATTGCATAATATCTAAAACATCCAATGAATAAATACACTATCTGGCGTGGTGAATGGTCATACAGGTGAGGAGAGACATGACTGTTAGTCACAGCAGGATTGACATAAAATGCAGTACAATTGCCCTGGCACTTCTGGCCTTGGAAGTGATAAATGATTAGCTAGGGCAACGCTTAGGAACTAGGAAGCATGTTCTGTTATCTGTTTAGATCATGGCTGATTTGATGTGTTCCTCCGTTTTAAATTCATTCATGAGATGGGGCATTTCTGGCTAGACCAGCATTTATTGACCATCCCTAATTGCTGAAAGGACAGTTAAAAGTCAACCACATTTGTTGTGGGTTTGAAGTCACATGTAGGCCAGATCAGATAACGATGGCAAATTTTTTAAAGGGCATTAATGAACCAGAGGAATTTTTACAATCAACTGTGGTTAAATGGTCACCATTGGGGTAGCTTTTTATTGTATTTAAATTTCACCATTTGTTGTTACGGTGGGATTTGAACCCAATTTCTCAGAACCTGAGGCTCTGGATGTCTAGTTCTGTGATGCTGCATGGCAGTATGGTGCTAAGGGCAGATAATAAAAGGGGAACTGCACTGGTTACAATGCTAATTGCATCTGCAGATGCTCACTCTACAAGCTATTAGGAATAATGATTGCACTTTCGTGGAGAGCTGTGATTGGAAATAGTAATTTTTCTGTGAGGTGACAACCCACTGCAATGAGACTTGGTTCTGAGCCCATTATTCTCCACACAGTTGAACTCTTGATGTGAATCAAGCTGCTTTTGGTACTTGCCAAGTGGAGGCCACAGGAAGAGGTACAGGCCGAAGGAGAAACAGTACAATTAGTGTTCAAGAAAAATAAACATTAATAACAAAAAATATCATTATGCGAGGAAAGCTATTTTTGTTGGAACATGAGGGCCAGCGGGTAGATAAAGATATTGTTTCTCTAGACTGTGAACAATTCTCGGAGGATAAGTAGCAAAAGATTGCCTATGTTGGAATGAGGTGGCACAAACTCAAGACTAAAGCTGGATTAAGGATATCCTTTCTACACAGAGAATATGAATGTTGGGATGCTTTACCACAAGTGTTTCTTGAAGCAAGCAGTATAATATCTCTCAAAGGGGAATTATGTTTCTTATTTGGTAAAAAAAGAACGTAAAAGGACATACAGGGAAATCAGTGGAATTTGTTTAATGTATGTAGCATCAATTGATGAGTTAGTATGACACATAATTATTTATTCAGTTGTGTATTTTCAATGATCCAGATAGCAGGATAGAGTTTCTGTACAGAGGCCAGTGCTGCTGTGTGCAAGGTTGTTTTAAATCATGATTCTAAGTGTGGAAACAGGCCATTCAGCCCAAAAAGTCCACATTGACTCTCTGAAGAGCATCCCACCCAGACTCGCCCTCCTACCCTGTCCCTGTAACCCTGTATTTCCTATGGCTAATTCCCCTAACCCACACATTCCTGGCCACCATGAGCAATTTAGCATGGCCAGTCCACCTAACCTGCACATCTTTGGACTGTGAAAGGAAACCGGAGCACCCGGAGGAAACCCACGTAGACACGGGGAGAATGTGCAAACTCCACACAGACAGTTGCCCGAGGCTGGAATTGAACCCAGGTACCTGGCGCTGTGAAGCAGCAGTGCTAACCACTGTGCCACCATGCTGAAAATGGATTTTCCATTACAGGATTATTATCGTTTTTACCATTATTATCTGCATTTGTCCATCAACAGCAGACTTACTTCATATAATACCTTTCATGACTGCAGCCCACACAACTTTTCAGTCACATAAAAATCCCAGGGCAGAGACACATATTACCAAGTCACCCTCAAATTAAAGGACAGCTAATGATGATGGCAACTCAAAGTGCTTTATAGGCAACAAAATAATTTTGAAGCACTCTTGCTGTTGGGATGGTTGTGACATAATGCTGATGTTGCTGGACTAGTAATCCTACATTAATGTTCTGGGGACATCGGTTCAAATCCTGTAGATGGTGAAATTTGAATTCAATGAAAAGAAAACAGCCCAAGGTAACTACTGTTGAGGAAAAACTCATAGGGTTTATGAATGCCCTTTGGGGAAAGGAAATTTGCCATCCACAGCAGTATACTTGTAAAAGTTCTCTGGGCAATAAATGCTGACTTCACCTGCAAAGCTCACATCCTTAAATAAATAAAATAATGTAAGAAATGCACCAACCAATTTGTGGACAGCAAACTCCCATAATTAGCAATGTCCAAATAAAATTGATTGATGGATAAATTTTTATCAAGGTGCTGAGGATAATTTCCTTGCGTTTTTTCAAAATAGTGCCATGGAATCTTTGACATCCACCTGAAAGGGCAGATGGGGCCTTGGATTAACATCTCATCTGAAAGGCAGAACCTCTGACAATGGAGTACACCCTCACTACTGCATCAAATATCAGCCCAGTCTCTGGAGCAGGACCTGAACCTACAATTATCTAACGCAGATTTGAAATTACTATAGCCAGTGTTTCCAAAGTAATTATCAGACAGGAAGGCACTTTAGCGTACTCTGAGGGCAAAATAAGGCTTCCAATAACCACGAAGAAAGGACAAAACACAGTGCTATCCAGGATGTCTCAAAGTGATTTGAAACCGTGAAATATTTCTGCAGTTTGGTAAACACGGTTTCCTTATTTTCCAATAGAAATCTCTAAAAATGACATGACAACAATATAGCTTTCAGATCTTAGACCTCATTCTGAATATAAGGCAGAAATTGTTGTCAGCGCTGATTACATGACATGTTTCCTTCAGACAATTTCAACAAAGGCATTAGCTTTTTTTGTAACTCTTTAATAGGATGTGAGCAATGCTGACTCAGCCTGTCTTTGTTGTCAACCCCTAATTTCCCTTGGTCTGCCACATGATCTGGAGTCACACGTAGGCCAGACCCAGGGAAGGATGGTACTTGCTCTGGCCGTTTTGATTAAGTGCCAATCTCCTGCCTTTTCCATATAACCCTGCACATTGTTGCTATTTAAATAATTTCCTAATGTCCTCTTTATGTTGAAACTGCCTCCAACACACTTCCAAGCAATGCATTCCAGAACCTAGCTACTTATTGTTAAAAATGATTTTTCACACTTCATTTTTACTTCTTTTGCAAAACACGTAAGCAAAAAAGTTGTCTAACTCTTGATCCATTTACAGTTTTGCTCTGTCTACTCTGTCCAGATTCCTCATAATTTTGAAAACTTCTATCAAATCTCAAAAAAATGATAGAAATCACAACGGGTCAGGTAGCAAGCTAACATTTCAAGTCTAGATGACTCTTCATCAAAGCTCATGTCAGCTCTGATGAAGATTCATCTGGACTCAAAACGTTAGCTTGCTCTCTCTCCGCAGATGCTGCCCGACCCACTGCGATTTCCAGCATTTTATGTTTTCAGTACAAATTCCAGCATCTGCAGTAATTTGCTTCCAACCAATTTCACATCAGCCTTTACCTCTCAGTCCCAACTTCTCCAATCTTGCCTCATAACTGAAGTGTCTATCCCTGGAAACATTTGTGAAAAACTTCTTCTGCACTCTCTCGAATGCATTCACATCCTTCCTTTAATGTTGTGTCCAGACTGTACAACTGAGGTCTAACCACTATCTTATATATGTTCATTATAACCTCCCTGCTCTTGTATTTAATGCCCCTGTTAATGAAGCTGAGAACTCTGTAAGCTTTATTCACAGATCTGTCTACCTGTCTGGCCACCTTTAATGGCTA